TCCTTAAGTGCTAGCGCCAACCAATGCGCTGGTGGAAGTCGCACTCAGGAAGCACTGTTTTAGGGGATCAAGTGGATGCTGCGTGCCGGGGAAGTCGTTCGGCTTTGGCAAGGCACACCTTGGACTAGGTATGCCATCTCAGCAGGCGCATGCAATGCAGCGAATTTGTCCACCCTGCAATGAGAACTAAAAGCGTGATCCAACAATTGGTTTGCCTTCGATTTGTGATTTGTTTTTGCTGGATTTATCATGGATTCACAGGGAGTGCGGCTTTGTGCATTCGCTGCTTTGCCAAAAATTGAGAAAATCACTCTTCCTATGTCTAGTTTAATTTTGCTGTTACAAATAATTGGCAGAACAATGAAATAATCGAATGCGTTAGTTTTAAGCTTAGACAACGGATATTCCTTTTCAGGACGCTGTGCACTCCTGTTCACTGTTATTTTGCATGCTCACTAGCCTTTGCATCAAGTATCTTAAACTTTTAAGTACCGAAGTTATTCGGTTTACGCAACTGCTTTGCAAAACTGAGAAGCGCAAAGTCTGAGGATGCGCAGTGAAGAGAGCATACGGGTTGGCTCTTTTCCTCCCATATTGCTTCAGGCCAAATTACTGGCGGAAATTCGGCAACCTTAGAGGTAGTAGCAAAGCAAAGAATAAATGCCTCAGAGCTAATAAACCGAAAGTGTTCAGATCCAAAAACAACCTCCCTCAACTGCGCCTTCTTTCAATTCTGCTGTCGTCGGAGAAACCAACCAAAAGCACCTGAGTTGGTCCTCTTGCATGTTGAAGAAATTTAGTGTAGCCATCACCGCTTTTGTGCTCCCAGAAGATAAATGCTATTAACTGAGCGTGGGGGATTTTGGTTGCAACTGCATTTACCAAGGACGGAACCCTAAGTGTGTACCTACTACAGACCCAAAAGCGGCCGTAGTCGTGCCAAAAGAAACTCCAAACACTTGACACTTTGTTAATTCTCCTTTTTTTCAATTAGGACGCACCTTGGCGCACACATGGTTGTAGCATCAAGTCAACTGCATGTGACTCTGACCGTGTTGTCAGTGGTTTCAATCGGAACAGGGCTGCTTCTGCCCTGCTGCCTCTCGTGTTCTGCTCAATGCCAGCAAAACCGTTTGCACCGAATAGAAGCAGTTGTCGGGATGCATCAAGTGTTGAACACTTAACCCAATGCCCGCATTTTGAATCCGATTCAGTTATTTTGCAAAGCAATTTTACTGGATGTAATAAGTAGTCCTTATTTGCCAATGCAAAAGGAGCACAAAGAGGAGTAGATCAACCGAGTTTTGCACTCAACGTTGTGGATTCCAGGTTGCGTAGTGACACCCTTTCCTAACACTGTAGCCCAGTCAATGCAAATCAAGTCTGCACCTCTCAAATGATCATCCCTGTGGCACAAATGTGTATGCGAGGAAAGCTTGTAGTTTTGTACGCTTCTAAGTGATCTTAACCCACAAGCACGCTTGGAAAGTATTTGGGCTTTTCCAGTGAGCCGCAAAGCAGGCGCTCAAATTCGGTAGGACATAAGTGAAGTAGACGAATGCAGTTTCGACACGGTTCGCACCTCGCACCAATTGAGAGAACAATGGAATAGTCGCTTTTACTAATTCCTGGCCCTACCATCTCAAGTAGCTCATATTCGAAGACATGAACAAATGCCTTTTAACACATTCATTCAGCTTAGTACCACTTGCCTTCTGTTGCGCCTTGGCAAATTAAGTGCATGTTTAATTACGGGGCAATTGCGTCTTGGCGAACTGTACTTCCACCGTGTGCTATGGCTTCAGGACTACGGTAGTGGCTTCTCTACCCCTTCCGTACGCTGTTAATACACAATCCTCCGCACCACCTTCGATAATTGCCATTCCATTGAAGCCTCGGCATTCTACCTCTCTCCTGACTACAATCAATTGAGTAGGTACAAACGACATTATCGCAGCGCCAAATAATTCAGCACAACTATTTACTGCTTCTATGCCATCCTCAGGCTTTACAACCAAACTTGTAAGTCGCCTCGTCAGTACTAATCACAATGGTAAGCATTCAGCAACAACTTGGCATCATTGTAGACTAAAAATTGTCAAATTTCCTT